AAAGCCGCTTCTCTTCTCTTCCCGGCTCTCCCGCTTGGCATTGGGAACGCTTTCTTCTGTCTTTATTTAAACGTCAGCCCGTTGCATGTGAGAAGCGGGCCGTTCTAAGACAGCTGCCGGGATCGCTGGCCGGTCTACACAGAGCAAGGGATTGTTGGAGGTCTTTGTGCAAGTTTTCACTCGGTGTGTGTCTATATATGTATGTGTGTGTGTGTTATTCATGGAAGAATGTGCCATCCCACAGTGTCTTTCGAAGAGTTTAAGGAACAGCAAGTGTCCATGGACAAAAAACTAAGCCATGAAGAATTCAGATTCGGGAAGGAGAAAGCACCTGCCGGGCAGTGAATTCCACTGGCTCTTTTTTAAAAGGCAAAACTCTCTGAACCATCAATCGTCCATATTCTCTTTCTGTCAACAGTTGGAGGGGAAACTGGTTATTGCAGTGGCGAACTGCCTCGAAGCCTCGTGTCACTTCTGTCCAAGAAATGACCGAGATGTTTTGTTGCATTCGCTGCAGTGGCTGGCGGGTGGCAAACGCTCCTTTCTCTTAGTTCGTAGCTTCCTTTCTTTTTTGCACTGATGATAAGCTAGACTTTTCTCTTAGGTCAAGGATGGGCAGAGTGCTGCTCAGGGGTGGCACAGGGGCCCCCACCTCCAGATACCTTGTTTTAGACGCCTGGAGCATCCCGGGCACAGTTGTATTTCAGACGCTGAATTTTTCCCTTTTTTAAAAAAAATTAATTTACAATATTTCAATCCTGCTTTTCTCCTTAAAAAGAACCCCAGCTTCCGTCCTGATATGAACTGTGTAAGGTCACTGGGGTGACAAATTTGCCCTCAGACTCAGCCCAGTTGTACATCCACCCCTACTTGACAGTAATAAATAGAGGCCAACTTATTTTTTAAGCATGTGAGCAGTTTGTTGTTGGTATGTGCTGTCAAGTCGCCTCGGACCCATGGTGACCCCGTGGATGTGTAGTCTCTGAAACATCCTGTCCTCAAGGATCCTGCTCAGCTCTTGGAAATTCAAGCCTCTGGCTTCCTTGAGGGAGTCCTTCCATCTCCTATTGGGCCTTCCTCTTTTCCTGCTGCCTCCAACCTTTCCCAGCCTGGCGGTCTTTTCCCAGAGAGTCCTGCCTTCTCAAGAGGTGCCCAAAGGAGGACAGCCTCCGTTTCAACATGTTTGTCTCCAGAGATAAGTTCAGGTTTGAGTCGATCTAGGATCCACTTGTTTGTCTTCCTTTGCTTGATCTGCAAAGCTCTCCTCCAGCACCACCTTTCAGACAAGTCATTTCCACCCCCACCCCCCGGTCTGCTTTCTTCACTGTCCAACTTCCACACCCTTACATGGTGATCAGAGGTATATCAGTTACATCCCGTTTATATCCAGCCTTTCTTCCACTGAGCACAAGGTGACACACGCGTCTCTCTTTCGGCTCACAGTCTCCTCGCTATAAGCGGGTGAGGTAAGTCAGGCGGCAACAGAATAGGAGAGAAACTCAGCTTTCTCAGGAGTAAGCTAGTGGAAGAAGCCAACAAGGCAGCATCGATGTGTCTGGGTTTTCCTGCTTCCTACTGCCGATGAAGGATCACCTTACGGCATGTACCTTTGTACCAAAAAAGTGTGTATTCAGAAAGGTAGCTAGCCAGAGAAATTCTTAACCAAAAAGCTTCCTCTCTGGAGGTTAGTTTTTTGTGGCATGACCTTTTTCTCCTTCCCTGGCTCTTGATTCTTCATAGGTTACTCCCCCAGCTGTTAAAAGCAAACCTTTCTGAGTTGGGCAAGGGCCAAGCGACGTGTAGGTATTGCTCCACGGCTGAAGGTGAGGTGTTCTGATGTTGCTTTCAAAGGTCGTGTGGGTTGTTCAGATCAGTGTTTTCACTGTAAACCAGGCTGAGTGTCTTCAGGCGAGAGGAGAGAACGGCTCTATAATTAGTGCAGGTTTTTGGACTCTCGTTTGTCCTTCCAGGCCAAGATCTGAGGTGGGAGGATAGAGACAGATTTGTTTTTCTCCTCTTGGCATGAGTTGGAGTTGGAGCTGAGCTCCAGTCATAAGCATTGGCACCTTTTCGCCAAACACATCTCTCCGCTGGAATCCAGGGAGCCTGCATGGGAAAGTCACCTGCGGAAAAAACAAAAAGATAGCATTTGAAAAGTGTTGGAATTCTTGCATCTAGCAGGCTGCATCGGGATGGTCCCTTCTGCTCTGGCCCCGGGACACATCAAGGGCTAGCCTAGAATGGATTGGAGAGAGGTGACTTTCTAGAACCTTCCACTAGGAAACAGAAAGCAACCATTTTGCTATCTAATGAGTTCTGTGATGCTGTGAAGATTAGCAGGTTTGTTAATTAAGGACAGTTTGTTAATTAAGAAAATTAAGAACGACAACCCGCTTTTTTTGGACTACATGATTTGCTCCTTCCCCTGCCCTCATGGTTATACAACATCTTTGTCTAATGAAGAGTTCCAGAAAAATTTGTACAAGTTCTCATTATTTCTAACTTAGTAGTAGTGAGCTTAGTGCAAGCATACCCTGTTTCCCCCGAAAATAAGACCTAACCTGAAAATAAGGCCTACTATGATTTTTCAGGATGCTCGTCATATAAGCCCTACCCCAAAAATAAGCCCCCGTTAAGTGAAACCCCTCCCTCCACCCTTGTGCAGCAACCAGAAGATGACAGGACTGTGTTTGAATAAATGTAGATGGTTGTACCTGAAAAAAATAAAACATCCCCTGAAAATAAGCCCTAATGTGTTTTTTGGAGCAAAAATTAATATAAGATCCTGTCTTATTTTCGGGGAAACATGGTAGCGATCCAATAGACGTGCTACTTAATCATTAAGGTGGCACAACACTCTGCTGCAATACAGTTCTCTTTTTTTAACCGCTTCTATATTATCATTTATGTTTTCTTTCAAAGATACAGTAAAGCCAAATTCTCTCTTGCAATTTACACTCAGGGTGGAATCCACCAGAGCGAAAAGCAAAGCATGCTGCTTATATACTGCCCCATAGCGCTTAAAGCTCTCTCTGAGCGGTTTACAATTTTAATGATCTCGGCTACACATTGCACACACACACTCTCTGAGCGGTTTACAATTTTAATGATCCCGGCTACACATTGCACACACACACCCCCAGCAAGGCGGGTACTCTATTTACCAGCCTCGGAAGGATGGAAGGCTGAGTGAGCCTTGAGTCGGCTACCTGACCCCGTCAGGATCAAACATATGTCATGAACAGACTCTCGACTGCAGTTTAACCACTGTGCCACACTAAAAATAAATAAATAATGGAGACACACCATACATTATTACATTTAAAAATAAAGGTTAGTCAGGCGTGTGTGTTTACTGAGAGGTGAGCAGCATGCAGGGATTTCCCTTTATATATGTATGTATAATTAATTAACACCTGACCCGTCATCCAGCAGTGGGATCCTAGGCACCTTAACAAAGACTTAAAAAAAAACAAATATTAAAACAGTTAAAAGTACAGTGGCCCCAATCTTGTTGCTTGGCATATTAATTTGCACTAGAGTAGACCCATTGAATCCACGGAGAGTTAATGATTTAATCTCTCTGTAAATTCCGTTGTTTCAAACAGCTTACACTTTAGTGCGATTTGCTAAGAGGAAGAAAGAGAAGGGAACTGGCAACCGTAACAGGAAGAACGTCCTTTTAATTTGCCTCCCCTGCAGATCCCATGACAGCATTCCTTCTTTTTTCTCCAAACTATAATATTTTATAGGATTCTCTTTCTTATGGAGAACTTTTTCTTTTTTTTTTTCTGGCATGCAGGATCCTGAAATTAAATGGCCGTCGGTTTATCAGACAGCCACCCAAAACATCCCTACTGTAGGCTTTAATGTTTATTTGCAAAATATGGTTGTCGTATCCAAGGGCCATTCCCGTTGGGCCCATACCTGTGATCAATATGACGGTGCGAGAGCTGTCTCATCCTGAGCCACACGCAGATATGCCATTGCATGTGCTTCTCAGTTGCTAATACTTCCTTGGGTTCTGGTTGCGGGGGGTGGGGGGACAACAGTGTTTTTGTTTGCTTCTGAGTACGTGCATGAGCCAGCTTGGTAAGTACTGTATTTTTCGCTCCATAAGACGCACCTCTCCATAAGAGGCACCAAATTTTTAGGAGAAGAAAACAGGAGAAAAATAATCTGTTTTCTTCGCTCCATAAGATGCACAGACTTTCCACCCCCCCTGTTTTGTGGGGGGAAAGTGCGTCTTATAGAGCGAAAAATACGGTATGTAATATCTGTAAGACATCCTCTCTATTTTAGTGTTTCATGCATTCACCAGTGTATGGCTCGTAAAACCAGGGGCTTTTGAAAAAATGCAGTGCAAGATGTAATTTAAATCTCCGAGCATCATCACTGTCAAAAATTGCCTGTTTGCCTGATCTGCTTAATCTGCTCTGTGTTCAATTCTTCCGATTCAGACATCTCTCCTAACAAATTGCATAGCCTTTAATGTGCCAGAAGACTCTTTGTATTAAAGAGAATCTGAGTTCACTTGTGCACCCCTGTTTTGGTGGTGTGAGACACACCTTACCTTGCTTTTGAAAAGAGGTGAAGAGCAAATTGCTCTCCTTTTAGATTTTCAGCACCCTCTCTCTCACACACACACACCCCACACATCCATCACAGAGCTTCCTTGCTTTTGAAAAGAGGTGAAGAGCAAACTGCTCTCCTTTTAGATTTTCAGCACCCTCACACACACACACACACACACACACACACACATCCATCACAGAGCTCACAGACAAACAGCTGGGCTTTTCCTGTGTTTGGAACTCTTGTTTCGGTCTGTTTCACCCACAAGGATCCAGGAAAAGCCCTTTTGCAAATGCCTTATAATTGAGGTTCGAAAACAAACAAAGCACTTTATTGGATAACTGCTTAATGAGGTTGTCGTGGATGGCGAATCAAGCCAATGTGACCTACCTGTTGATCATCTTCTGTATTTGTGTGTGTTTCAGAGTCGGCAGCTGGAATCCGAGACTGGGACGACAGAAGAGCACAGCTTGAACAAGGAAGCTCGGAAATGGGCTACGCGTGTGGCACGGGAGCACAAAAACATTATTCACAGTCAACGGGTGGGTTGAAAATGAGTAGAGAGACAGCTTCAAGGAAGAGGTGCTTCAGGTCCTCTGGTTACTTACCTGACGTAACAGGTTGTTGTTGAGGCGAACTCCCACCTATCACGAAATACGTGGAGTCCAACAGGTCCCACCTTCGTGTAAAGTGTCAGATACATTTTTGAGCAGTTTTGATGTACTTAAAAGAAGTTGTCTTTTGAAGAAAAGATCCCATATGACACACACACATCCCCAAAAGAAGCCATTTCTGTTGGTGTGTTGGTCTCTTTGCATTTGCGGTGGGTCCCTCAGAGGCTCTAGAGCAGAGGTTCCCAACCTCCAGTCCACGGCATGGTGCTGGTCCGTGGCCTGAGCCAGACCAGGCTGCAGAGACAGTCCTCCCGCCCCACCCCCGCACTCACTCACTCCCACACAGCTGCTTTGTGCATGCGCACTCACTCTAGCGCACCTGTGCACACACCGTGCCACCATTTGCACGTGCATACAAGCGTGCATGCTCCTGCACAAGCATAGCAGTTTGCACATGCACACAAGCGTGGGAGGTGCCCCGCCTTCCCCAGCCAGTCCGTGGGGTGAAAAAGGTTGGGGACCCCTGCTCTAGAGGACAGAAAATTGGCCCACCTTCATCTAAAAATCACCTTTTTTCTAAACCTTTTTTTTCCCTCTACCTTGGAATTTCTAGCATTTGTGTTGCAGAAAGAGGAATCTGCAATGAGACACTGTGTTATAAGAGTCTTCCAACAGCTTACTAAACAACAGAAGGGTTAAAGTTACATGTTTACTTTTCACTTTTCATTGTTTGAGAAGCAAATTTACACACTGGGGGGACCTGTTACATGCTATCAAGTTTCCCCAAACATACGGAAACCCCATGAAGGAGCAATCTCCACAGTGTCCCTTCCTCAACAGCCCACCTTAGCTCTTCTAAATTCAACCCCGTGGCTCCCTTTAGGGAGTCAGACTGTCTCCTATTCGGTCTTCCTCTTTTCCTGCTGCCTTCATCCTTTCCCAGCATTATTGTCTTTTTCAAATATCCCTGACTTCTCATGATATCTGAGCCTTCCACTGGTCTCCAGAACACTAATGTTTTCTTAGCATTTATTTCACCCTGTCTTTCTCCCCCAAGGGAATTGTTTAAAAATTCTCTTTAGCTGAGTTGAGACATTTTTGCAAATAAAAACCAGCTGAGCAGTCTTGATTTTAAGTCCATTGTGGGTTTCTTGTTCTTCTTTAAACACTATTGAGTCAGAAATCAAAGAATTACTTGGAAAGTAATCTTTAAAAGTGTGATGATTCAGAACAAGTTCCTGCTTGTTCAGTAGTTTGAGATGTAAGGTAAGACTGGCTTTACCGTCTCCATGTGGTACAACATTGGCAAGGGTACTGGTGCCATATCCAAGCCCGAGATTAGAGGACTGCAGTATAAAGCAAATGTATCTGAATATAGATCTGTAAAACAAACAGGACCAGTAGCATATATAATTGAATTTCGAGTTGGAATTGCCCCTGGAGTTTATTTAGTCCATTGCTGTCAGAGTTGGGTGTTTGCATCCTTCTTTCTGTGACTCATTATAAGTCAGAAACGATGATGGTTTTATGTAGCTAACTGCGTAGAAAGGAAGCTTTGAGCAAGGCGTTAAGAGGAATGCTTCCTGTCCTTTCTGCAAGCAAGAAGTTAATGCAGAAACGCTGAATTGTTCCATTTGCGTTGTTTTAAAACTCAGCAAATATTTTCCCTTTTCCTGTTTCTCTCCAGACTCTGGAGGAATTGGAATGCCATGGTCCTGCCGTGTCTGAACAGAGCCGAGCAGAACTGGAGCAGAAGATCGATGAAGCCAGAGAGAACATCCGCAAGGCTGAGGTGAGAGGAATGTCCCATGAGTTTTGCTTCCAACGGTTCTTTAGGGCAGCCGCACGGATTAATGCAGCCACTTGGTGAAAGGGTGCTAAAGGTGTGAGTTATTTTTAATAGGAGCGTGTGGGAGAACAGAGGGAAACCCTCTCTCTCTCAATCTCTCTGTCTCTCTCTCTCCCTCCCTCCACCCCCCCTCTCTCTCTCACACACACAATTACCCAGCTGATAACACCCATCTTTCCCCTTACAGCCACAAGCAGCCTCAGAAAGAATCTGGAAGCTTGGCCTGTGTGTTTCATGCGCACCTCTCCATGTTCTGTTACCCTGACCCGAATGACAGTGGTTGGTCTTCACAATTATTAGTAGAAGCCAGCTTGCTTCAAATTGGTTAATGAGCAGGTTTCTTTTCTACTAACCACTGATAAGATTGACCAATGTTAGGTCTGAGCAGCAGATTTTGGATAATCTCAGATGCCAGTGGAAGCTCCTGGTCTCTTTGCTGAGCAAGTCAAGACACAGAGGCAGCACACGAGGCCAAAGCTTTTTGTAGCTCATTCTCATGATGCTAAACTAGGGTTTGCTGTGACATTCAAATGCAGCCATTGGGCTCAAATTGGGGTGAGGAGGGAAAGTTTTGTGTCACTGAGAAACCGTGATTTTCCTCTGTCTGCTGTCAGCTCTACTCGTTGCTGGCTCCTCTGAAAACCAGGCCCAGGTCTACATGGGGTATTTTTTTTTCCTTCCAGTTCCAAAATTAAGAAAAGGAGATGAAGGATGCATTTCCTGAGTTTAGATCCTCATTTTTCAAACCTCCATTAGGAGTGACCCAGTGTTCTGTCTGCTCTGTCAGCGTGTATCTTAATGTTCAGCCAGTTTTAAAATTGATTTCTCAAGACGATTGTGTGGTTTCTGAATATTTCATGAGAAAATATTTATAGTGAAATAGTTCCCCACAAATGAGATGACCAGCATCTTTTCTTTTATCTCCTTGCTTCCTTCTGTGTTCGCTGTACCTCTGTATGGACTTTTCACATTCCTCCAGCCTACACCAATTCAGGGAGTTTAAGGCTAAAAAAATGTCTTGATAAAATTCATTTTTAAAAAAAGACAAGGCTGTTGAACTCCAATTGGAAGGATTTCCTTAGCTATTGTTGCAAGTTAATTTTGCAGACTGCTTTTAAACTACAACTGAATGTGTTCCATTTGCCTTTTATTCTTAGGTTTGCAACCTGTATGTTCCTCTACTTTTCTATGTTCCCTGGATATGCATGGGATGCCCATGGCTGGAAATGCATTTTCTTACTAACATTTGATTTGCCAGGGCCGTCATAGAGAGCAAGGATAAAAGGCAGCCAAAACTTTCTTTCAGCACCTTTTGGGACTGTTCAGAAACAGCAACAAGTACAGTACAGAAGCCAGTTGGTAATCAGGGCTGGCTGCAGGAAGCAGGTGGCTCCTTTGCTTCCCCTTCACACTCACTGCCAGTTAGTTCCCGAGCCCAGTTCAAGGTGCTGTTTATTAAATTCAATCGCCTGGAGCCATGGAACTCTTATATATATATGCTGCCATCATCTGGAGAGGCCTTCTGTAGAGTTCATCTCCCTGGGTGATGGTGGGTGACTTTAATCCCACCCCCACATGCGGCCAGCCCAGTTTTGCCCAGTCCTGGTCTGTGTTTTGCCAACGAGAAGCATCTTTTGAAAACAGATCCCATGCTCCGCTCTCCGTGGGCCACAGCCCACCCGTTTACGTGTCCCCTGGACGTGTTCTGCTGCATCTCAATGAAGGCGCGTACATTTCCATCCTACTTTTGTGTGCTTCTTAAGGCATAGTAATAGTGAGAGACTGTAAACTTAGCCCTGTCTATTTTTGAAGGGGAAATAAGGAAACTAGTGAGAAAAATGTCATCACACTTTCAAAAATACAAGACACCTGCTGTTCTCATGGGCCTTGGTGCAGAAAACGGTTGCGCGTGAGGAGAATGTGAAAGTATCAGATGCATATTTTTGTTCTCTCAGTCAGAACGTAAGTGTTGTGCTAGTCTAGATCAAAGACCTATCTTAACTCCATTCGTGTTGCCAGGTGGATGTTTGGAGGACACACGAGAATCTTCCTATGATTTTGATCCCCATTTATGGTCAGTTCATGGGCAGATTTAGTTTCTTGTTGCTAGTAAAGCGTTTTTTGGGTGTATCAACGACTTGCACAGATTGCATCTTTATTGTGGAATATGCCCAGTTCCAGTCGGCATATCTTGAACAGTTACGTAGATCTAGCTGAATATTGAATGGAGCTTTCGTTTCTTCATCGTGGCCTCCGTAAATGCACGCTAATGCGGTAGTCTTTTGCGCTTGCGCAAATCTTCGAAAACTTTGAAAAATCAGGAGATCATTCGAGACTGTGCCCTCCCACATTGCCCATTGGCGCCACTAATGGTCCTCCCTCGGATCCTTTTTTGCCACTAGTTTGGACACACCTGGGAACTTTCTGTAGCTAACTCAGCTCTCTGAGAAGCTGCGAGGCTGTGACGTCTTGAGTCAGGTGCCTGATCACACACCTGATGCACCCTGACGCATTGTCAGTTATCCTCCATTCTCCTTCACCAGTTCCACACATTCCATGCAAACCCGAGTCAGATTCCAGCCTGCGTGTTAAAATAAGTCTGTGAAGAATGAGGCAGGAGAGCTGCACTTTCCTATAGGGTGAACGGAGTGTTGAATGTTTTGAAAGTTGAGGAGTTGGCTAGAAAAGCTGAAGGCATATTTTTTTTTTCCTCAAAATCTTGCTAATTTTTTTGGAAATCTGCGGCATAAAAGGGTTAACTGGTGTTTTCTATCAGGCTCATTCTTCATGGAAGGTGCTATGAGAGGCGCTTTCTCTAGAATGCTGACATACCGCTGGAACATTCTTACAAGTCACACTCGTGCCGAAACCTCCCCATGCAAAAAAGAGTTTGCAGTTTTCCTGGGGGGAGATAGAAATGTACTTTTCGGCTAGTCCTAAATGGACAGCAGTTGTTGTTAGATGTCGTCAATTCGTCCCTGACTTACGGAGACCCTATGGATGAGCCATCTCCAAAATATCCTGTCCTCAACTTGCAAACTCAAGCCTGTGCTTCCTCCTTTAGGGAGTCAATTCATCTCATCTTTTCCTGTTGCCTTCAACCTTTCCCAGCGTTATTGCCTTTTCCAGAGAATCCTCATGATGTGTCCAAAGCAGGACAGCCTCCATTTCATCGTTTTCACTTCCAGAGATCTTTCAGATCTAGGACACACTTGTTCATCTTCCCATCTGTCCAGGGTATCTGTAAAGCTCTCCTCCAGCACCACCTTCTGAACGAATCCTGCCACCGTTCTTTACAGTCCAGCTTTCATATCCATATATAATACCAGAGTGTGGATGACCTTGATCTTGGTTTCAAGTGACACATCCTTACGCTTGATTATTTTTTTTCTAATTCTTTCGTTACTGCTCTTCCAAGTCTTCGTCTTCTTCTGATTTCTTGGCTACAGTCTCCATTGAATCAAGTCTCCATGATTGAATCAAAAGATACAAAATCTCTTAACTTCAGTTTCTTCTGAATTGTGTATTTCCTCCGTGGTCATGATTTTGGCCTTCTTGGTGCTCAATAGCAGTCCTGCTTTACACTTTTTTCTTCCACTTTCTTTAACAGTCGTTTCAGGTCATTGCTGTTTCCCGCCTGGATGATGGTGTCATCTGCGTATCTTAAACGATTAATGTCCCTTCCACAACTTTTCACTCCTCCTTCCTCTGAATCTAATCTGGATTTCTATATGGCATGTTTTGCATACAGTTTGAACAGATAAGGCAGTGGCTCCCAAACCTTTTAGACTTGTGACTCTTTTGACTTACAGGCCACTGGCCGTGGCTCCGCAGTCCAGTAGGAGTGCCATTTATCCACAGGATCAGTACCTGCAGTTTTCACTTATCCACTGCCTCGGCGGAAAAAATGAAACACACGAATACACATTCCCAGTGTGTATTATGCAGACTGGCCACTAGATGAAACCAGAGACTGTGCTATATAGAGATGGCTTAATGGAAACACAATACAGTGGTGCCTTGCTTAACGAGTGCGCCGTTTAACGACAAATTCACATAGCGATGAAGTTTTTGCAATCGCAAAAGCGATCGCATTGCAATGTTTTATATGGCAAAACATTGCTTTGCGATGATCAGTAAGCATTTCGCTTACCGATTATCGCATAACGATGTTTTAAAAACAGCTAACCGGCGGTTCCAAAATGGCCACCGGGGGAAAAATGGCCGCCCGCAGTGTTTTCGCGCCCTTTCCTCGCTTACCGGGCAGCGAAAATGGCGGCCGGATAGAGGATTTCCGCATAGAAGTGAGTTTTTCCCCATAGGAACGCATTAAACGACGAATCCGGATAGCGACGATTTTTTCAGCACGGATTATCGTCGCTATGCGGGGCACCACTGTAGTGGCCTGACGTGGAGGGCAGGAAACCCATTCATTTGGCAAGACTGGGCCAGGGCTCCCTCTCTCAACCAGGGACAGACACGGGAGAAACCATAAGGAAGTGTTGTGGGTGAAGGAGGGAGGGGGTAAGGAGGAGAGGATTGTGTGGCATCCCTGGGTGGGTTTCCCAGTGTCCCACAGAGCCATAGGACACAGTTTGAGAAACACTGGAAACCCCCCCCCAAGGATTTTTGGTTTATATCCTGCAAATCACCCTAATAGCAACTGCGTTGGCAGCTTAGCCGTATCTTTTGCTTTTTCCTAACTGATATGTTAGAAGCTGCAGCAGGTCTGCCAGCAAGGGAGATGTTTGCTCCGTTAAAGGCCCAGACGCACACTTCTCGGCCACGTCACAGATAAGACAGGGACCAGAATCCTGAACCTGACCCATGGGAGTTTCTTGGAAATTTCTTTTCCTCTGAAATTCATTTTGAAGAGAACCTCTTTTCTCTTGCATTGATCCAGAACGGCTGAAGTACTCACAGAAGAAATGTTCAGCTCAGCTCAGCACTCACTGAAACACATGCGCTCTGGCACCGGCTAATTTTTAAATGTCAAATGTGTCTTAGCATTTTTAAGACACTAAGATGTGTCTTAGCATTTTTTAACAGGACATAGTGATGGAACCATGGTTACAAACATCTGAGGCCAAGGATTGTTCTCTACCTGTCAGCCTAATGGCTGTCATTTGAGGGAGCCAGTGCGACTAGACACGGAACACCATGACCTTCCCACCCAGATGGTACCTATTTATCTACTCGCAATTTTTGCATGCTTTCGAATGGCTAGGCTGGCAGGAGTTGGGACAAGCGACGGGACCTCACTCCTTCGCATGGATTCAATCTTATGACTGCTTGTCTTCTGACCCTGCAGCACAGAGGCTTCTGCGGTTTAACCTGCAGTGCCACCACATCCCTTATATATAAGTATAAACAACAGCTAACAGATGTCTCATGTAATTGGTGCCTAGTTCCTACAAGTGTTGCAGCTGCCGTATTCTCTACCAGTTGCCTTTATTTCATTTCATTGATATGCCACCTTTCTCCCAGTTTTGGGGCTCAGGACAATTTAAATCCATAAAATATTAAAATCAGTAAAAGGACAAACACTCCCGTAGAATTAAATTGGGTTATGTGATCAAAATGCCATTCAAATTAAAATTCTTTCAAATCATTTCAAGTAGCACCACTAAGTTTCCGAAGTGTCTTGAGGAGCATGTAATGGTAGCCTCTACCGAGCCATTCTCTGCCCATCTTAATTATACACCATGCTTCTGTGACATAGATCGTACGTATGTATAGGGACTGCCTGTGATGTAGGATCACACACACAAGCATGAAGTTAAGTATGTGATTATCTAATACAGGGAGGGCCGCTCTGATCCTAAATGGGTGGGGGTAACATTGTAATTACTTTTGGATGCTCTCGGGTACCAGTGAATCTCCCATGGTTTCAAGCAGAGATCCCAGCTCTGCTGTGGGGTTTGCTTTCCACTGGAGGTAGCATGTTCTTTTGCACTGAACCCCAGTTAGCCAAAATATGCCCAAATTCTGGGTTTATGGTGTGTGTGTTTTTCTCTATATGGATACTGAGCGCATTGCACAAAACAGCAATAAAGGTGTTTTACTGGTTATACCATATTTAACGCAAAAGACACTGATGTTGGGAAAGTGTGAAGGCAAGAGGAGAAGGGGACAGCAGAGGACAAGGTGGTTGGACAGGGTCATCCAAGCGACCAACATGACTTTGACCCAACTCGTGGAAGACAGGAGGGCCTGGCGTGCTCTGGTCCATGGGGTCACAAAGAGTCCGACACGACTTAACAACTAAACAACAACAAACACATGGGGGTGGTGGAAGAAAAATAAAAATATGGCACTTTAAAGACTGCCAGTTTTATTTCAATTTAGCCCACAACGTGGCAGCCAGATTACTAACTGAGGCTGGTCACAGTGATCAGGTGACCCTCCCTGTTAAAGCAGTGGCACCGGCTGCCAATCTGGTTCCAGGCACAATTGAAAGTGCTGGTTTTAACATGCAAAGCCTTAAATGGCTTGGGCACTAGCTATATCAAGGGTGGTGTCTCCCTTTATGAGCCTGGTCGGGTGTTAAGATCCTCACGGGAGGCCTTTCTCTTGGTCCCGCCTCATTCACACGTGTGCTCTCCCTTTATGAGCCTGGTCAGGTGTTAAGATCCTCACGGGAGATCTTTCTCTTGGTCCCACCTCATTCACACTGTGTTTCGTTGGGGACACAGGAGAGGGCCTTTTCTGTGGCTGCTCCCAGACGGTGGAACTCCCTCCCACTGGAGGCCAGCCTGGCCCCGTTGTTGCTCTTTTTCCGCAAGCGAGCAAAGACGTTTCTCTTCAGGCAAGCTATCTCTCAGTGACTGGTGATCTGAGAGGGTTTTTTTTTTTTAATGGATTGTTGTGTCTTACTGCTTTGAATGTGTTTTTGTTGTTGGTTTTGTTTACTTGTATTTAGTGTGGCACTTGTTTGATCCCTTTTTACTGTTTGTATACTTACTGTTTTTTAGCTTTAAATATTGTCTTCTAATGATGCAAGCAGCACGCTTTTTGCAAGCTGCCTTGGGTCCTTTTTAAAGGAGAAAGTCAGGGTAAAAATGTTTTAAATAAATAAACTGCTTTAGACAAAAGAGTGCAGATACTTGTCACCTATAATTATTCTATGAGGGTGAGATTCATATCGAGATGCATATGGAGAAAACCTGTATTTAAATATTCAATGTTTATTGAATAAATATTAAAGGTTTTTATTATATATACATATTTAAATATAATAAAATCAGTAATGATCAAGATGAATCAATATTTACTTGTTTTTATAAAGACACCTTAATCAAAGAGCAGCTGGTTGTTTCTAAATAATTACTTCTGTTGAAAAGAAGTGGTTGCAGAAAAGGCTTTTATATAAGTAGTGGGGAGCCTCTCCTCCCTGGTTTCTCCTCCTCCTTCAAGTTTACGGTTTGAGTTTCGTGGGGAAATGGAAAAGAAATTGGAATCCAGACTTGCAATGTGAACGATTCCTCATGACTTCTCGCCTCATTCAAGCAGCAACTAGAATGTAATTTTATTTTTCATTCTGAAACAGGGTCCTTTTAAGAATACAGTGGTGCCTCGCATTCCGACCCTTTTAAGAATACAGTGGTGCCTCGCATTGCGACAATTCGTTCTGCAAAAATCGCAGCAGAACGAAAACGTCGCTATACAATATTAAAAAGCCGATAGAAACGCATTAAAACCTGATTAATGCGTTCCTATGGGCTTAAAACTCACCGTTCAGCGAAGATCCTCCATAGCGCAGCCATTTTCGCTGCCTGGTAAGTGAGGAATTTGTCCCAGAAAACAGCGGGCGGCCATTTTGAAACCACCAGTCAGCTGTTTTAAAATCGTGCTGCTTGCATCATTAGAAGACAATATTTAAAGCAGGGAACCGATCATCGCAAAGGGAAATTCCCCCATAGGGAACATCGCGAAGCAATCGCTTTTGCGATCGCAAAAAATATGTTGCAAAGCGATTTCATCGCTAAATGGAGCAATCGCTATGCGAGGCACCACTGTACCTTCTCATCAACCGTGGATTGAAAGATATCAGCAACTGCGAGGCACCACTGTACCTTCTCATCAACCATGGATTGAAGGATATCAGCAACTAACTAACTAACTCTCTTTCTTGCCATTGTAGATAATAAAGCTGAAAGCGGAAGCTCGACTTGACCTCCTAAAGCAGATTGGGGTTTCAGTGGACACGTGGCTGAAAAGTGCAATGAATCAAGTGATGGAGGAACTGGAGAACGAGCGATGGGCCAGCCTCCCTACTGTTGCTAACAACGGCTCTTCACATTTGGTACTGACTGTTTTCATCTCTATCTCCTTGGCTTATTTGTGAATCCTTAGTGTTTGCTTCCATATAACATCTGTAATAATGTCTGTTTAACCTGGAGCAGGCAGTTGTGGTTCATCAGCAGAGGTTAAGAAGCATCTGATGGCTCTTGGTAGCTTCATCTCCTGCCATGTCTGCTGTTGACACCGATGAAAGCTGCCTTGCATAGCAAATGCCAAGTGTCAAAGATTGGGGGTGTACATTTGTGTGTGTGCATGTGTGCATGTATTCTGCTGTTGACACCGATGAAAGCTGCCTTGTATAGCAAATGCCAAGTATCAAAGATTGGGGGTTATACATGTGTGTGTGTGCATGTATTGTGATTTAAACCACTGGTTCTTAACCTTTGTTGCTTAGATGTTTTTGGACTGCAACTCCCAGAAGCCTTCACCATCAGCTCTGCTGGCTGGGGTTTCTGGGAGTTGCAGTTCAAAAACATCTGAGTAACAAAGGTTAAGAACCACTGATTTAAACCACAACATGAGCCTAGGATTAACAACTCACGTCTCTTGACACCAAAGTCCAAATTAAGCTGTACGCCCTCCCCTGATTTTTAAAAATCAGGCTAAAAACAGGGATAATACATGATTTAAAAACTGCACTTTGGAAAACAGGCCAGTGGAAAAAGAAAAACCCATAATGGACGAAGAGATGTTTAAAATTCTGATGCTCTGGCACACACCAGATTTCTTCTTCTGTTATCTATGACAACAAGTTTTGTGGTGCCATAAAACTGAGGCATGAGATTTAGGAGGCAGAGACCTGCTCTGTAGCATGGAGGATGTGAAGGGCATCGTTGTTCCCTGGGTTCTCTGAACATTTCAGAAGAGAAGATCACGTAGTGAAGGTAAGGGGTACCCCCTATTGAGTCAGTCAAGGATTTAGGCTTGGGAGGTGGAGTTGATAACGAAATAGACCTAGATTGGCTCCTGGCACACCCAGCATCATAAATAAAAGTGTTGCATGCTTCAGCGGATGATCTTTAGCACAAAGAGAAGGAGGACTTCTAAGCTGGAGCCATGTTAATGATCTTACCTTGCTACAGAGGTCAGATTTCATCCCATCTGCTGGAAAGTAGAAACACTGAGATTATGGGATAGGAATTCATCCATGAAGCTTAGAGAGACCGCATTGCAAACGCAGTTTCGTTTTCTCCATTGGTCTATTTTAAGCCCTCTACCATTCACTCAGTTGGTTTGATAGCAGCAGGGGAAAATGGGATTTCCCCCCTCCTTCTATGTATATTTAATGGTGGCGGACCTTGATGCCTATTAGCAAGAGCCCTCCCTATTCTGCATTATATTGTGAAACCATGTAGAGCTTTGAGTAGAGTGGGATACAAATGCCATATTTTTCCATGTATAAGAGAAGTGGGATACAAATGCCATATTTTTCCATGCATAAGAACCCCCACACACACTTTTCTAATCCAAAATTAAGAAATCTAAGTGGGGCTTAGCAAGTGTAGGGAGAAAGGGATCGAAGCGCTGCAGGATCGCTTTGATCCCTGCTTTCCCCTTCACTTGTTTTTGTTCTCTCCTCACCGTACTTCCATGTATAAGACGACCTTCAATTGTTAGTCTAAAGATTTTAGACAAAAGTATAGTCTTATACACAGAAAAATACGGTAAGTCCCAGTACCCCTGGTCACATGGACATCATTCACGCCTTTGTGCCTTTGTGCCTTTAGTACGAAGAGATATAAATGCTCATCTCAACCCATTTAACAGCACTTGTGATCTGAAACGGCAAGTCTACCCGTCTCACAAGTGTCATGACCACATTTAAATGAACATGCCTATAGGCACTGCTTTGGAACTTCACAAGTACAGGACACAGAATTACGCAGAATCACATGTTTCTGTCTTGAAGCTACGGAATGCTCGGCCGTCTAGAATGGGTGTGTTAAGTCATCTAAAGTAGCTCCAGATTTCATACGTCTTTCCTCCGAGACGGGAATCATGTGTCTTAGATCTGATGTGGGAATTTCAAAAGGGGAAAGCAACTCCTTAATTCAGATTGTCAAGCGAGGGGGAAAATTCTGGCATTCTGAACGCCTCTTTCCAAGTTGCTTATTTTTCCTTTTTTATATATTCACTGAAAGCAGTGACGGGGGAAAATATCAGGAACCTTTGAGGATGCCCCCAGCATTTTCTATAAGAGGATGATGAGAAGAAGGAATAGATTATCAGAAGTTAGGGCCAACAATTAAGACTTTGCAGTAATTTCTGTTTGACTAATTGGAATGATTAAGAGCCAGCTTAGCACTGGGATTGGTTTTCCACAGGGCAAGCAGCGATGATCTTCCCCTTCTGTCGACAGGGCTTGCCATTTGAGGATGCCCCCAGCATTTTCTATAAGAGGATGATGAGAAGAAGGAATAGATTATCAGAAGTTAGGGCCAACAATTAAGACTTTGCAGTAATTTCTGTTTGACTAATTGGAATGATTAAGAGCCAGCTTAGCACTGGGATTGGTTTTCCACAGGGCAAGCAGCGATGATCTTCCCCTTCTGTCAACAGGGATTGCCAGGCTGTAGATGAACTCCTTCAGCTGACCTCAGTGGTGTTACGGTTTTGTCAGCATGTAAGAGTTGCTCGGGTCCACTTAGCACATGGTGGAGCACTAAGGATCTTGCCCCATGGTGTTAAGACACGGGTAAAGGGCGAGGGTGCATCAGTGTTCAAGGGTGCATATACATGTTTTCCTCGTTGCTTTTCAGGGTTAGGGTTAAGACTAATTCAGTAGTGGAGTGTTTTCTCCTTTTCCTGCAAAAGACCTCAAAGTGTCAGATCACAGCAATTCAAGTGACAGTAGCCTCCCTCTGTCAGGTACCTTGATACCTTGGACTATAATTTCCGTAACTGTCAGCCAGCATTGGCCATGTTTTCTGGGGATTATGGGGATTGTAGTCTGTCACATAGTAGTGGGGGGGAGGCTGAATTAGAGGGATTTAATGCAACCGGGGGGGGCAGGGAGAGAAAGGGCTGATACCGAGTGTGCTGCGCTTTCGTCTCAGAGAAGAGTTCACTTGTTTATAAGTCCCGGGATGCTGGAGTCCACTCTGAGTCCACTCTGGGGAACCCTTAGAGAACTTGTTAAAATCCCTGTTCCTGGCGCTTTTTGGCTCTCCTTCGCTGGCTCCCTTTCCACAAAAGAAGTAGCAATTAGAATTGCAAGCGGAGGTCTAGGTTTATGAGTGGACCCTGTCGGTTGTGCTCGGAATGGGGGCCCACCTGGCAAAACGGGGTCACATAAGCAGAAAAGAGGTCCCCTCGCCTCCCAGGGACATGCATATGCTACCTTTTGATGAGGGAAGAAGGGCAAGGAAGGGTATGGATTGTGTAGAGAGGGACATCTTTCTGGTGGGCTGAGCCTGAGATCAGCTTTCATTCCTCCAGACTCCCCTTCCTCGCTTCCAAAGGTTTCCTGTTGCAAAACCTGGATTCTCTCCAGCCCTTTTCCTTTGCGCCCACGACAGCCTTGCCAGCCGTTGGAGCCGTAGCTATTGCCAGCGCCAGGCGCTGATGAACTGGCAGATGCTGGAGCGTGGGAGGATAGAGTGATTTCCATTCCCCCCCCTTGGACGCACACCCTCCCGCCCTCCCCCTCTTTGTAAAAGATTGGCTTGCCCTTTGGCAGGGAGGCTCCCTTAGACAGAAGCTGGCGTTTGTCTTTTTTTTTTAAATTGGCAGTTGAAGGTCTAACTTCACACAATAGAAACACCCAACGGTGTCATTCTGCCACCCTCGTGTACATTTCCTGGGCTCCCAAGGGCACAAGGGTTCATTGACTGACTGATTGATATACTGATTGACTAATGCTGCTTCTCCCCCCCCCCCCCATTTTAAAATATATCAGGTAGTACAGGTGTATTTGTTTTCTAGGCATCCGCACCTGTATAATCGTTTTGTGTGTTTTTGTTTTGTTTTTTGAAGCAGTTCTTGACAGCCTTGTGCTGAGTTGATTTTAAAGAAGAGGGTGGCAAATAACAGAGCAGCGTTCATCAGACAGGTTGTGAGCTGAATATTCAGCCTGCTGTCATGAGATCTAAGGAACGAGTTTCCCATTAGGCACCTATTTATCCTGCTTGGTACAAGCCCAACCTGATCCGCGCAAGCCGTGCAACGGCTGACTTGCTGTCGGCAGAGCAGCAGGCGATCTCAGCAATTTGAAGACCCAAGGCAGAAAATGCCGGAACTTCGTGTCAGGTTGCACAGCACGGTTGCCCGGAGCAATGAATTTTCACGGGGGTCATTTTGGGCATCAATGAATGCGATGAGGAAGAATCGACTCCCAGCCTAAATGGCAGCAGAAACCATTATTTACTGTGCATTTGTTTGAAGATCGCGCCTGTATCCTAACAAAAGGTTTACAAGATATTTTAAAAAGACATATAGCTAGAAGCAGTTTATCACAATGTTGAAAAGCAATCCAATATACTGTTGTAATAAAATAGCCATAGGGGTGTGGCATTTTAAAAGCACATTTTAAAAACCACTTCCTCCGTGCCAGTCGGCCTGAAGACAAAGGTCATTGCCTACCACCCGAAGGACATCCATGAGGGAGTGCGCCTGGCCTCCTGTCAGAGGGAGCTCCCAGCCTGGCAGCAGCCACCAAAACAGCCCTCTCTTTTATCTTCATGTTCCTAATGCCATTCCTATACTTAATTCTTTATCAGCAAGTCATGCAGAGGCTTGATCGGCAGTTAGTGAAACCTTTTGAGGCTCACACGTTTTATTTGGCCTGAGCTCTTATCACACGCAGCAATTGAAAGGAATAAGTTGCAAATACCTGGAATCATATGCCAGATAGTGTGGGCACGAACTACCGGTTCAGCAATGCGGTTCGTTTCCCAGACAAAGAGCTGGTCCACATTTCAGTAACCGTGCCCTGTCTCACCTCCCCTGGACACTGCTTCCAAGGGGATGACCGCTGGAGGGAGTGGTGCACTGAACCCTGCAGATCAGCTATTTGTTCGGAAAACAAAGTGCACCAAACCAGCACTTTGTGCCCATCTCTAAGTCTCTAAAGGTGCCCCAGGACTCTCTGTCATTGCTGCTGACGTGGCTGAATTGTTGAAAAGAGCCATTTTGCTGAGGCTCATGTTCAGGATCCGTAGGGGGTGATGGGGCAGATCATCTTCACCCTTTCCAAGCTGGGCATGGCTATAAATTTTCCTTTATACTCCAGCACTCCAGGTTGCCTTCTATTTTTTGGAGAACATGCATAGAATTATGGGATGGGAGAGGGTGTCCGTTGTGTTGGCATGGGCCCAACTCCAGAGGCTTGATATGTGTCATGTTCCCGGGAGTTCCAACAGGCGAAAGTCCAATAAGCCAGTCCAATATCAGAAGTCCAGAAGATGCAAAGCAGATACCAAAATGCCAAAGCGAAAACACAAACTGTAGTCAGAAGTCAGAGTCCAAAGCCAAGGGTCCAGAAAACAGGGTCCAAGATAAGCAGGAGTGTGAATGCAAGCCAGGGTGTTACTTGTTGCTTCCACAAACTTCCAAGCCTCTGGGGGAAGATTTTATAGCAGCAGCAATCATCTAAACACTTCATCCTGCTAAAACTCAGGGTTGGTCAACCTGATGTGGAAGCATTCATGCGAGCCTTGGAACTTCGTGTCATGAGTCCTTCAGAGGGTTATCCCTCACTCTGGCTACTGGGGGAGGAGAATCTGGTGGTGATTCAGCTGTCTGTGATTCTGATTGCCCAGCAGATAGGCAACCCAAATAGCCTAGCTATTGTTGTTTTGACTTCTATACTGTGTTTTCTCAAAAATAAGACAAAATTAATTTTTGCTACAAAAACACATTAGGGCTTATTTTCAGGGGATTTTTTTTCAGGTACAACCATCTACATTTATTCAAATACAGTCAATGTCATCTTCGGGTTGCTGTATAAGGGTGGAGGGCAGGGTTTCACTTCACTGGGGCTTATTTGGGGGTAGGGCTTATATTATGAGCATGCTGAAACATCCTACTAGGGCTTATTTTCAGGTTAGGTCTTATTTTGGGGGGAACAGGGTACCACCCCCTCCTGATTAGGTCTTATTTTGGGAGGAAACAGGGTACCACCCCCTCGTGCTAAACCACTCTCTGGGCAGTTTACAACATAGAAAGAATGCTTTGCCGCCTCCCTCCAGCAAGCTGGGCACTTACTTTATTGGCCTTGGGAGGCTGACTCAGCCAACTACCTGAGCCCATTTGGATTTATTTTATTTTATTTCTATACCGCCCATCTGGTAGCCAAGGCTACTCAGGCCGTGAGCAGAGGCTTGACTGCAGTACCCACTGCCGTTGCTGCACCTCAGGGCTCAACAAACTGGCGTCTGGTGAAACTTTTTGGGAGAGAATGCAGTGAGCTCTATACACATTGTGTGGCATCCAGATTAAGTGATTGTATAAAGAGGCCCAGGATAGCTGAAGGAAGTAGACCTGACACTGGGCTTTGTTAATTCATGTCAGAGCTTCAGGGAGCCGGGGGGGGGGGAAGCTTTCCCGTACCTTTAATCTGCTTCAAGCTCTGTATTTTGTGGTCTAAAAGTAAACTAAACTGTCAGTTACTACTTCTCAGGAACTGAAGGGCAATTAACATGTGTGGTTTTTTAAAGATTATAGGGATTACAAGCTTTTAATATTGCCTTCAGGGTTTGCTACCTTTACCACACATGCAGACAAACCCACCTTCCTTCAAACACAAAGTGAACACCAGATAGCAGTAATTCCCAAACTCTGTGTTGGGGACCTGGATGAGTCTAAATGTGTCCCAGTTTAAATCAGTAAAATATAGCGGAAAGGTGCCAAGCAGTCATCCACAAACAGGGCTCTCAGCTTTGTTGCCCGACTACACCTGGTTCTCTCACAGCTGCTTGATTCAGCCACATCTCTGCATCTGGTGTGCCCTGGACAATTCGGCTGCTCCCTAAGAGGAAGTACATCCGAATTCCTTGGAGAAAACCGAAGGTTAATGCCCGCAGGGATCCCTGTTTGAGGCTGGCTCCTCTGAGTTCAGGAAGCACGCTCTGGTCAAAAAAATCAGTTCAAGCAAAGAGTTGAAGAAGGTGGGCCGTGGGGTAATCCCGAGTGGGTATTTGCCTTCTAAACCTTTTCAGGTGAAAGGAGTGGCATGTGTCTCTTTAATTCGGGGGAGAAATGGCCTTAGCTATCAGATATTTTGGAAACAGCCTGAAAATCAAATAGCTGGACCATATATATTGGTAGACAGTTATCTGCAATCAGTTCAAGCAAAGAGTTGAAGAAGGTGGGCCGTGGGGTAATCCCGAGTGGGTATTTGCCTTCTAAACCTTTTCAGGTGAAAGGAGTGGCATGTGTCTCTTTAATTCGGGGGAGAAATGGCCTTAGCTATCAGATATTTTGGAAACAGCCTGAAAATCAAATAGCTGGACCATATATATTGGTAGACAGTTATCTGCAGGGGATGAAGTTGCCTGAAGTTCTCGGTGGCAGATTACCCATCCTCTGTAAGGATGGACTTAAGAGGACGTTGTCCTCCCTCTGTCTACTCTCCTCCCCCAGCTTACTTCTAAAATCTCACCTGATGGACAGAGTATATTTTTAAAAGTTCACACATTTTTGGTAGGTAGGTAGGTAGGTAGGTAGATAGTTATCTGCTGGGGATGAAGTTGCCTGAAGTTCTCGGTGGCAGATTACCCATCCTCTGTAAGGATATTGGACTGTGCTTGTCTGGGGTGTCTTCTTTCCAGGGCTTTTTGATTGCTGACTGGAAATGGGGGCAGGGGGAGATTTCCGGTAGTTGGTATTCCTCCCCACCCCTTGACCTTTTGCTTTTCTACAAAGGAGGCCAGTCTCTGGTATGAGTAGTGCCACAAACAGAAAAGGCAGCGGGGATTGTCCAGGCAGGAAATGAAGTGTCGTGGGCCTTCTGAGAGAATCAAGACTACTTTTCTTGCCCTCTGGCAATGGCCGGCCAGCACGCGGACCTCCTGGATCCTGTCCAAAGAGACTGGAAATGGCTGCAGCTTGTGCCGTTTATGGATTGGATGGTTTCGCGGATTGACTGTCTGTAGACTACAACTGCAGCCCTGTTTGGGAAAGCTAAGAGGATGCATGTGGAAATGTAATGCTTGGTGTCCACAGAAGAGAGAGCGCCCACAGCTTAGACAGCCATTGCTGAGTGGGCCACTAACTGATGTGTGTAGAACATGGTGCAGAGTAGAATCGCAGAAGTGTTTTTTCTACAAATACTTACACAGTTTAAAATACTGTAGAAAATGGAGCTTGTGTATTTAATCCATGGTGATCTAGGCAGCTGCTTCTGGACACATCTTGATGACAACTCCGCACAAAGTGGTGCCCTTCCTCTCCTCAGTCCATGGTTGTCTTTGGTAGATCCATTGGTATCATCCCGTCTGCTTATTCTGTCTTCCTGTCATCCTTCTCCTGTTAGTTAAACGTCGATGTAGAAAGAGAAGAAGGAGAAGAGCTGGAGGACGGCATGGATGGCTTTGATGACAGCAGTTCCAGTCCTTCTGGCACACTCAGAAATTATCCGTTGACCTGCAAAGTTGTGTATTCCTACCAGGTGCGTACCTGGAAGATCAGGAGCTTTTGCTGGAGAGCAAAGGCTGGACGAAGCCTTGTCTGTATTGAGGAGAAGGGTGTTGATATTTGGCCACAAGGTGAAACTTCAGCCTGGAGGGAATGGCTACCCATTAAAGATTTAAATTAAAAGGAAACAATTCATTCAGAATCCCGGGGTGGCATATGATGTCTTCTGTCTAGAAGCAGGAAGTGGGACATAATTATGAAGGGGGGGATGCTCAAACGCAAAGTTCCGTTTATGGAGTGAGTTGATCCATCCTTATTTATAGGGGCCTGGACATAATCTAGAGCAGAGGCTCCCAACCCCTGGTCCGCGGCCCCGTGCCGCTGTTTGCGTGTGCACATGAGCACAGGGAGGAGTGTCCCGCCTTCCCCAGCCGGTCCGTGGAGTGAAAAAGGTTGGGGACCCCTGATCTAGAGGAGGTTTTGGCTTGCAAAGATGCCTGCCTGTTAGAACGATCTAGGGCGTCACGGGCACGCATAGCTTCCAGGTAGCTGTTGGAGATTTTCATGTCACCTTTTGGTTAAAGTCTAGCCGTGTGCTTAAGCCTTGCCCTTCCTGGCTGATAAAAGCAGTCAGAAGGGGAATGGCTGCCTGTTAATAGCTCCTTAGAGAGTGGGGCACAGTTCCAAGAAACCTGCAAAAAAGACTCTTGCTAGAACTTTTTCTTAAAGCCCTCTATAATACTCTTATTATGGTGGATAATTTCTGGCCGCGTTGCTATATGCTTGGCCAAGCTGCCATCTGAACGCCAAGATTTTCTTGGATGATGTGGACTGCCTGGATCCCTTGTGACTGTGTTTTATCTGTGGAACTGGAAGTCCTTAGGATGCTCCAGTTTTAAAAATGGAAAAGGAGGAGCAGGTCCCTGTTGGTTCTGCTGGATCCTTCTGCAACCTTCTTTTTTTTCCCCCCCGTTCTGGCCGGGATGGAACTGAGAGGGACAGTTCTTCTTTGTGGCCTCTGTGAATCACACCCTGGGTGATCCACGCCTGTGCGGAGCCTCATCGGAAAGTTCTAGAGCTTCTCCGGTAGCAAAAAAAAAAACACATTAGAATAAGGCCCCTCCCTCCTCGTATAAGTGCCTTGAGTTCTAGAGCTTCTGCGGTAGCAAAAAATAACACATTAGAATAAGGCCTCTTCCTTCTTGTATAAGTACCTTGACGCCAAGGCCCCCCTTTCAGTTTTCTTTCAACCGCTGTGTTGAGAGCCTCATAGTTCTGCTTCTGTGAGTAAAGGAGAAAGAGAGTTTATTCTTGATTCCTTCCTGTTATCAATCTTTTTTTTCCTTTAAATTTTTAGATCAAATTCATTATCATCAGAGATGTTTCCTATATTGCTCAGCCTCCAGCTGCAGCACCCCCCCCAATCATCAAATTCATTATCATCAGAGATGTTTTCTACATTGCTCGGCCTCCGGCTGCAGCACCCTCCCAATCATCTTTTTTTTTTCTCCTCAAATTATTTTCTCATATTCATGGCCCCTTGGGCCCGTTTAAACACTGCGTGGTCTGTGATAACAAAATGCCACTCTCCAACAGCCACGCCAGGTGTCCTTTTTTCACTATACAGTAATTTAATTTACGCTTTTCTCTGAACAAGATGTTCCTAAAGTTTCCTTAATAGGCAAATGAAATAAGTGTCTATTGACTCCTGTACCTCTCAGGAGCAGGAGATGTTAGCAGTAAGAGGAGGAAAAGGGATAGGAAAATCTCTCCTTGATGCTGCTTCTTTATCAGGTCCAGCATGGGCGTGGGAAAAACAGTCCTTCCTAAGAGTGTTTGCCAACTGCTCAGCGTTCCTATGGGAGAAAGCATTCCTTGAGACAGGGATGGCTTTGAAGGAACCTCCTTGGGGACACTCCAGGTGTAACACTGCCTGTCTGTCTGTCTGTCTGTCTGGAAGGGGTTGGTAGCACAGATCCTCCCCATGTGGCGATGCGCCCATTAGAAGTTGGATTTTTTTTTAAACTTGCCATGTTTCTGCCTGTCCTTCTCCTTAGGCTTCCCAGCCAGATGAGTTAACCATTGAGGAGCATGAGGTTTTGGAAGTGATTGAAGATGGAGATATGGAAGATTGGGTAAAGGTATCATTTTGTTTTTTCTGTCGTTGTGGCATGTTTGAGGGATCTGTGGTGGGTTAAAGAAATGTATACGCCTGTTCATACATTTGCCCTCTTCTGTTGAGCCGTTTTCCCCCAAACCCCCAACCCTTCCTCTTTTACAGGCACGAAATAAATCCGGACAAGTGGGTTACGTGCCGGAGAAGTACCTGCAGTTCCCCACTTCCAACAGTCTTCTGAGCATGCTGCAGTCTCTGGCTGCGCTGGACAGCCGGTCTCATACCTCTAGCAATTCAACGGAAGCTGAGCTTGTCTCAGGGAGCCTTAATGGGGACTCCAGCGGTAAGTGCCAGGAGGACCACATCCTCTATCGTTGCGATGGGCTCCGGCCCCGAAAGCCGTGAATAGGTCCTTAACGTGTCTTGGCCATTCTCCACAAAAAGTGCATGAGTAAAAAGATGAAAATATAATTGCTGGAAGAAAACAGCATTTGGGAACCAATCCAGCAGTCCGGAAAAAAGGACATAAGCTAAAGCCAAATTTATTCCACCTTGAATCCCACAAACTGAAAACCATCCCGTGCTGTTGGGCCAGACAGGGCTCTGGATCCCCTCCAAAAGTGGACTGCCTCAAGGCTCTGCTGAGCAAGAGAGATTGTTCAGGAGCAAGCATGCCTCCGGCTCAGGTCTTTTGGCTCCACCGATTAAGTCAGGTTTTTGATAGGAGCACCCGTTCTCCTAATCAGAACCCACCCACCCCCCGAATCCACAGGCTTCTGCAGGGAGGGTCAGCCGACAGGTGAGCTATCCTGGAAAGGGAACAGCTGCTATCAGCTCATGGGCTGTGCAGAATAATAGTGTCAGCTGCTTCTGTTCCTTTTCTTTTCTTTTTTTCTTTTTTGGGGAAGGGTGGAGTAACTGAAATGGTTGATTGGCCTGCCTCAATAATAAATGGAATTTATACACTGCTCGTACTAATATTTATATTTATGCACTGGATACAGAGTGCTCAAAGCAGTCCTGTGTAAATCACAGACGTGCTCTGATGCCGTAAGTGGGGAGGAGGGCATGCTGAGGTTGAGAGAATGGGTGGTTTCCTTAAGCCATGGCTAGGCTGAGCTTGGAATTTGAAGAGAAAATCTTAACCCATGTAGAAAATAACAAAACAGTTACCCTCACCCTCTGGTAGTGCTGCTTCCCCCCCGCCCTTGCTTTTAAATGTGGGTTCCCGAGACAGAGAAGGCTGCCATGCAAAAGGACTTTCAGAGGAAGCTTTTGGTATTCCAGCAGAAGTGACAGAAGAAGCGCCTTCAGCCTTGATATTTTCCAAAGATCTTGTCACATTCTTGCATTGTGATATTTCTGTGGTCTCCACCATATCGTGGTGATCCCATCTGCTTTACACACTGAAGATTGTCAGTGCTTGGAGCTCTGAGCTGGTCAAAAGTGGGATATGAAGAAAATTAATACAGTGATGCCTCGCATGACGACGATAATGCGTTCCGTTAAAATCGCTGTACAGCGAAATCGTCATGTGAAAATAAAAACCCCATTGGAATGCATTGAAAACCGGTTAATGCGTTCCAGTGGGGGAAATACCTGCTGGTGCAGCGAAGATCCTCCATAGGGTGGCCATTTTGTGATCCCTGTCTTGCGGAAATAGGTCCGGAAAACAACGGGGAGCCATTTTGCGAACCACCGATCAGCTGTTTTAAATCATTGTCTTGCGAACAATCGGTTTGCGAAGCAGGGACCTAAACATTGTTAAATGAAAAAAAAAACCATAGGAAACATCATTTTGCGATCGCTATAGCGATCGCAAAAAAGGCATCGTCAAGCAGTTTTGTTGTTTAACGAGGTAAGCGTCTAGCGGGGCACCACTGTAACATGGATATTTGCCCTTCTTTTCCTAGTCTGTTTTGTAAAAGCACTTTATGACTACGAGGGCCAGACGGATGATGAGCTGTCGTTCCCGGAGGGAGCAATAATCCGAATCTTGAACAAAGAAAACCAGGATGATGATGGATTCTGGGAAGGCGAATTCAATGGGCATGTCGGAGTTTTCCCCTCCGTCCTTGTCGAAGAGCTCACGGCCTCGGAAAATGGAGAGTCCCGACTCATTGCAGATGTTCAGGTACAGGAGGGATGGCGCTGAGGATCATCTGGATGAGCGCGATGGGTACAGGGCAAAGTCCTGAGCTGCCACAGGATCACAAGCGATTTCTAGGCACTGCCTTGTGCAAAAGAGTCAGGATGTTTAGGAAATGCTCATTTCTGCAACAAAACCAAGCACACTTCTCTAGCTTAATTAATCTTTATTTGGAGTCATGGAGCGGGAAGGGGCCTTTAAGGTCATTGAGTCCAACCCTACCGCTCGAGGCAGGAATCCAAATCCAAGCAGATCTGATAAGAGCATTGTCCAATTTCCTCGTGAAGGCCTCCAGTGTTGGAGGGCTCCCGAGGTAGCATGCCTTACCCTAACATGGCCAAAACCCATTTTCTAAGGTTGCCCAAATGTTCGACCTCCAGCACCAAATGCAGCGATATGTTAAGCAGTGACGTACCATCTACAGGAAACTTTTCTCACCTAAATGTATCATCATCAGCTGGCATGCGTGGGAAAGGGAAAGCCACCATCTGTGGGCAGCAGGTTGGTGCAATTGACCGTGAGCAAAGAGGGGTCACTTAGATATTTAAGCAAAGACAAACGTTACTCACCTGATGCTCCACACACCTGTCTTCTCTCATTCTGCTGGCTTTTTCATGGAAAGGGGGAAAAAAGGCATTCACCGTGTGACCAGCCTGCACAATTGAATTCTGCATACCCTCTGTGTGGTTCTCTCACACACCTGTTTGAAAGGTTTTTTTAAAGGGTTAAAAATCAACAACACCAGATCACAGCTATCTGGAATGGCTTGTCTTAGCCTTTAACCTTTCCAATTCAATAGTTCCGTTTCAATTTATTGTCATTGAACGTATATACACCCTATACACATACAACAAAATTCACAAAGAACACTCAGAGACCAGACCAAAAACATAAACACACACCTTCATAACAATCCAAAATTCACAAACCCCGCCTAAAGGTACGTTAAAGGTACGGCTTGTCTCCTTCTCCCGTTCCTGAATACTCTTTCATTAAAGGACTTCTCCTTTTTACTAATCCCGGGAAAACAGAGGACACCAGACCTCCCTCGGCGGGTCTGTCCGCTCCAGTTAGACTGTGCTACAGAAGAACTGCCCTGCGAAAGAGTTCACAAGCCTTGCTTCGCTAAGAATAGCCAGGCCCAGAGGCGAGATGGCCAGAGGTGGAATTTTCTGTCCGTCAGATCTTTTGCAGAATTGGTAAAGCTCAAAGCCTAGCGGCTTCTTGATCTTTCTAAGGAGTTTGCTGGTTTTATGCTGACTTAATTCTAGCTGGGGCATGTGAATGCCAGCTTCTGTCTGCGGTATGCAGATGATATGGAGACCTCCTCTTGTTTAGTTGTTTTGCAACTAGGCCTGCCTTTCTGCAAATGTTTACCCTAAACCTGCAGATAGAGATGGGCATAAATCGCTGGTTTGGTAGTTTCTGCCGGTTCGTTTAGTGGCCAAACAAGTGTTTGGTGCTTCCCAGCCCCACCCTCTCCACCGGGGCTGCCTCTGAGTGGACGCCCACTGGAGGAGGCAGGGCTGGGAAGCACCAGACACCTGTTTGGCCAGTAAACGAACCGGCACAAATCACCGAACCAGAAGTTTGTGCCCATCTCTATCTGCAGATACACATAATGCACATGCCAGCAAGCAGTGGGATTACTGCAAGCAGCGCCATTGCCTGCTTACAGGTAAAATGCCATCAAGGATGTCACTCATCAATTAGATCCCCCTCAGTTGTACAGATTGTTGGCCTCTCCTAATTCTAACTCTTCACCTGCTCCAGGGACTGTAGCCGCTTATGAAGGGTTTTTTCAGTGCCGAACAAGGTAAATCGGAGATTTCTGGAGATTTGCAAACAGAGGCTCCATTCCACTGCTTGCTTTGGTTGGGCCAACTTTATATTCATTGTACTTTGAATGCTGGCAAAGGTTAACAACAGATGGGTGCAAGAAGGAGTGGTGAGGGGTAGAGCGGAAGTAGAAACAGAAAGAGGAAATTCCCAGTCTCCTTCCTGTAATTAATCTCTGTGCGATACATTGAAAGATCAAACACAGCTTGGCAGGAGGAGAATTGCCCACCCTAACAGCTCCCAACTTAGAGTGTCCATTTCTTTAAAATGTACCTTCAGTTTAGGATGGTGAGTCAACGTCTTACTGTTTTGCTTACTTCCGTGTTTTCAGCTAACCAGAGAAAGATGGAAACTTTTTGTTTGCCTGTTTTCTATGCTCTTGCAGGCCACCCTTCCGCCACAGAGGGAAGGGTGATGCATGTGGCCTTATTCCCTTGAGGCTGGAGTGAGCTTCCTTTAGACTCACATCTGTTGTTGCACACGAAATCCTGTCAAGTGGGGGGGGGGAGGCAAACATGCCTTTCTGCCCATCTGCAGAAATCCTACACATACAAGCCAGGGAACCATGGTGGATTGGATCTCCTTTGCTTGGTGAACATGCAAGGGTCACAGCCTTGTTTGAAGCTGACTGGAACGACCGAAAGAACTGGGCCTGTTTAGCCTTGAGAAAAAAAGACTGAAGGGAGATTTTCTCAAATACTTGAAAAGGTGTCATACAGAGGAGAGGGGCAAGACCCCTTCTCAATCAACTCAAAGTGCAGGACCCACAACCATTGGCTCAAGTTACAGAAAGCCAGATTTTGGTTGAATATCAAGAGAAATTCCGTGTTTTCAGCTAACCAGAGAAAGATGGAAACTTTTTGTTTGCATGTTTTCTATGCTCTTGCAGGCCACCCTTCCTCCACAGAGGGAAGGGTGATGCATGTGGCCTTGTTCCCTTGAGGCTGGAGTGAGCTTCCTTTAGACTCACATCTGTTGTTGCACACGAAATCCTGTCAAGTGGGGGGGGGGAGGCAAACATGCCTTTCTGCCCATCTGCAGAAATCCTACACATACAAGCCAGGGAACCATGGTGGATTGGATCTCCTTTGCTTGGTGAACATGCAAGGGTCACAGCCTTGTTTGAAGCTAACTGGAACGACCGAAAGAACTGGGCCTGTTTAGCCTTGAGAAAAAAAGACTGAAGGGAGATTTTCTCAAATACTTGAAAAGGTGTCATACAGAGGAGAGGGGCAAGGCCCCTTCTCAATCAACCCAAAGTGCAGGACCCACAACCATAGTTACAGGAAGCCAGATTTTGGTTGAATATCAAGAGAAATTTCCCAACAGTTACAGCAGTATGACAGTGGGAACCCATGACCTCAGAGGGAGGTGATGAGCGCTCCAGCGCTGGAGGCCTTCGAGGGAAAATCGGGCAACTATCTTGTCAGATCTGCTTTGATTAGGATTCCTTGAGCAGTGAGTGGGTCAGACTCGATGGTCTTAGAGGCCCTTCCAACTCCATGATTATATGATAGTCGAGGGCCACAGATGTGGCACGATCCAGGGCTTTGTGTGTTCCCCCAGCATGTTGTCTGATCTCTCACAGAGCACAGGCTTCCTCTCCCTGTGTGAGCTAAACCCCAAATTTTTGGCGTGGGGCCAACTCCAAAGGCTTGATGTGGCGTATTGCCTCTCACAAAGCTTGGAGTCAGATTCGGATAGTGAAGCTTCCAAGAGCATTCTGTTAGGGGAAAACAAACCTTGGAGCCTGAGATAACAAGTTACACAGAGTCTCTTATCTGGTTGCTTCTAATCCTCCCCTTTATAAGCAGAGGAAAGATGCGGATGTATAAGAAAAATAGAGAGAGTTCTTATAGCATAATATATTAGACTTATAGCATAATATATTAGACTTGGTCACACATATATACATGGCAATATATACATTGGCATAGATCTCTCAGAGCAACATAACATTTACATTCAAGTAAAGTAATGACCAGGGACGTGGTGGTGCTGCGGATTAAACTGCAGAAGCCTTGCAGTTTGAAAGCATGTAAAAATGCGAGTAGATAAATAGGTACCACCTCGGTGGGAAGGTCACGGCGTTCCGTGTCTAGTTGCGCTGGCCACATGACCACGGAAGATTGTCTTCGGACAAACGCTTGGAAACGAGGACGAGCACCGCCTCCTAGAGTCAGACACAACTGGACTAAATGTCAAGGGGAACCTTTACCTAAAGTAATGACCCCCAGACCCACCACTGAGTGGCCAAGTGCTGCTCTCACTCCCTTGCTTAAATAGTGAGGGCAGCCGATCACAGCAGACCTGGCAGCTGAACGTGGTCGACAAGCATTACCTAAGCTTGTCCCATCTGTATGCCATCAGTCATCCATTGACTCGACGTTTACAGGCATGACTTTGCATGCTTTACTACAATATTAAATTAACCCCTTGTTCACTAAAAGGAACAAATCCTGACCCACGTCTCCCCCCGCCCCCGTGGAATTCTGTCTCCCACAAGGTACACGTTGCTCTCTTTTCTCCCTTTGAGAAAGACCTTGAAAACTTCTTGGTGCCACTCTGCATTTTAGTAAAGAGTTTACTGATTTGCCATCTCAGCCTCCTGATGTTTTGAAGGCATTTTCTGTTTCACTGTCTTGCTTTGAAAAGGGTTACGGCATAAGGCTCTCTTCTGTTTCCATGTGTTGGGGGGGAGGGTTCATCCTTCAAGGGTTCTTCCTGAAAGATAAGATATAAATCTATTCCATAAATGAACTGGGCAGTGATTTAAAAAGATAGAGCCTGCACCTGTTCATGGTCTCCAGGACCATGAAGACTGCAGGAAGGCCTTCTCTTTATTCTTATTCTTATTCTTATTCTTATTCTTCTTGTTCTTATTCTTATTCTTCTTCTTCTTCTTCTTCTTCTTCTTCTTCTTCATTATTATTATTATTATTATTACTACATAGAGCAGCCACTCAAAAGAGCCGAGACATTTCCCCCCCCCTTTGGGTTTTAGTGACAAAGGGAAATGAATGAAAGGATCCTGCTTTAATCTTTTTCACATTTGAACTTCTGTAGGCAGGGTTTTTTTTTTTTTACAAGAGGTGTGTTTGCTTTTACTACTTCTGTTTAGAAATGTTTGTGAAATAGCCTTCTTAACCTTTTCACCCAGTTTGGCCCTCTGGGACAGGCTGGATTAGATGCTAGGAATTCATCTAATTCGGTCTCGTGAAGCTTGACCACCCAGGCTAGCCAGAGGTCATGTTTGCAGGTGGCCACCCCTAGAGAGGCCTAGAAGATTGTCACCAGGAACCAGGTGTTCTCTCTGGTGGCCACAACACTGTGGAATGCGCTTCCTATGGATATACACCAGGCTCCTTCTCTCCTGACCTTCAGGAAAGTGGGTGAAAACCATATTGTTTGAAGAGGCCTTTAGAAATGCCTTATCCCTTTGACACCCTTCTGGTCCCATGAATTGAATTGACCATTGATTTTGATTTGCTATCCAGATTTCTTTTCATTTTCTTTTCATCCTGGGTTTTACTTTTTACTGGTTTTCGTTATTTATCTCCCTTGGGGGCAGGATTGGGTAGTTGTGTTTTTAACTATTGTTAGAGTAATGCTTAGGCATTAGATGGGCAGGATATAAATATAAAAAATAAAATAAATACATTTAAACAAACAGCTTACTTGGCGAAGCCGGTTCCTTGTAACCTTCTGGTGACTCTTGTTAGCAGGCTTGCCTTTCCAGCCTGTCATTTTAAGGGCCAAAACCGAACATTTGTAGTTGGATAACTTCAAAAAGAAGCTGATCTTTGGTAAATGCAACTTGGCTGTTTTTTAGGAGGAAACCGCTTGAACGTGGCCTGCATTTTATTTCTTTCCTTGCAGGTATCTCCACCTCCAAAGCCCCAGAATTCTCTGGCGCCACTGCCACTGTACGACCAGCCACCAACCAGCCCTTTTCATAGTCCTGACAAGAGAGGTTCCCAGTACTTCCCGAGGTCTCCATCCGCAAATGGTAAGAGTGGCCGAAGGGCAGGAGAAGTCAAATGTTTTTGGCTACAGCTTGCAGGAGGCCCTAACTAGCATGGCCATTTCTAGGAGTTTTTAAACTCCTAAAACTAAAAATTTCCAAGCGGTATATGATACCCCAGCTTTACATAAAAAGTGGGGTTGCAAGAAATAATGAGAAGCTGTTGAGCTCTGACTTAGGGGCTCTTCTCAGCTCCCATCATCCTGATGTGCATCCTTATGTTCTTCAGTATCAACAAATGTAACAGACCTCAAGTGTACAACGGTTTGTCTTTCCACTATTTCAGAAAACAGCTTCAGTTCACATTCTCCTGGATTCTCACAGCCACCACGACCTCTTCCTGAAAGCACCTCATACGGCAAACTGAGACCAGTAAGTTTTCCAGATGTACTGCGTGGAAGACTCGAGTCTTACTGTACTTTTGTCAGGGGACCAGTGGAATCAGCCGCTTACATGTGCTGTGGCCACGCACAAATGCATTTAGAAGTAATGGCTGCGTTTAGATGTCATAGTAAAACAGCCTTCTCCAACCTGTTGTGTTGAAAGCATTTCGGACTATAGCTTGCATTATTGATGTCGGTAGTTGTACTTCGACACATGTAAGGGACACCAGGTTCAGGAAGGCTGTGGCAAGCTGTGGTTTTAACACAACGTGAATGAGCATAACAAGAGATGTGCCATTTGGATGCTTTGGACCTCCATCTCCCAGAATTCCCCAGGCTGGGAGTTCCAGCCCACAGACACACCTCTGCAGATACCTTCAAACCACACCAACATTCTGCTCATCAGCAGGAGGGCCTAGCTTGATAGCTTCGTGGCTTAGCTCTGGCCTGGCTTCCTTTTGGAAACAGGAAGCTAGGCCGTGGAGGGGTTGAGCTGGGTCCGTCTCCAGGTGAGCGAAATGTAGGTGTTGATGCGGGTCTGTGAATTGGAACTCTGTCTTGGGAGTCCTTAGAGAAGTCTGGGAGTCCAGGAAATCAAAATGGCACATTCCGAAGCCTGACCGCCTCCCTGATTCCCCCCCCCCGGCCCCAATCTCTTCCCACCTAGCCAAGAAAATGAATATGGAAGCGTTGGCTTCTCGTTTTAGTCAATGGTGGCTTCCCGTAACATTGAAGCTGGAACTGGTTGGTGTTTCACTGTTAGCTTGGGTCTGTTTTCAGGTACGAGCTGCCCCTCCTCCCCCGACACAACAGCATCGCAGGCAGCTGGAGAAAATGGAGGATGTGGAAATCACTTTGGTGTGACCGGCAGGACAAACGGTGCGGTCGTGCGAACGTCGAGGAACCCAGATATTGGCGGTGTTCGGCCAGCTCTCCTTCTCGAGCACCTTTGCATGATGGAAGAGACTTTAGAAGACGGAAGGAAAACTGGAGGATTTTCCGGAGACGATTGATGATGGGGGGGGCGGTCGGCTCCTGTTCCCACGGTCATTGATATTTTGTGCCTTTTTATTTGTCGCTGTTCTTTGGTTTCCCTCGATAACTCTGCCACCCTTCCTCCACGATCACAAAGTCAACAGAGAAATGCCTTTGCAGTTGAATGTCGGCCCTTCTGGTTTCTAGGGGGAAACTCCGGAGAGTTCCCCTCTTCTGGCCCCTTGACGGCGCATCTTCAGGACGCTTCTTTCCTCCCGAAACAGCCGGACACGACGGCCTGTTGCTCACCAGACCTCTGCAATCTGTAGCACAGTCAACGTGGCCTACTTCTTTGTCACATGGAGCGTGTCCTTGACGCCTGGTGAGGAACCAGGGTGTATTTTTCCGGTGTTACCTGCTGCCGCTGAAAGAAGAAGTCTTACCAGGAATGCATTTTTGGGGTGGGTGGGGGTGCTAGCATGTAGACTGGCCCGAAGTTAGAGCATACGTTTACCATGTGCGTTAGTACAGTATATTACTGTTGCCATAGGAATGTGTTAAATGTTTTTTTTTCCTATTCAAGTAACATTAATATCTGATTAGGTTATTAATCAGAATGTATGTAACAGAGAAGGGAGCACATAACTGTTAGGTTTCAAGAGAGGCTGGCTCCTCTCCCTCCCTCCCTCCTCTCTTATTCCCTCCTCTCTTCTCCTCCAGCAAAATGGGGAGGGATAATTCTACAACCGAGAGAAAGCACCGCACATCATATGGGGTTAAAAACCTCCATGCACATCTCTTCCATAACTGACTGTAAAACCTAAACTTAATGTTCCTTTGGTCTTTATGCAGTGCATTTAGTAATAGAGTATCTACTACAAAAGTGCTGACTTCGTAGCAACCACATGTTTTTCTTAGGATAAGACTGAATAAGCGGGATTTTCTTTGTAGAGCCGGTCATAGCTGTTCATTTTCTTTTCAAGCAGTTCCTCCCCCCCCTCCTTTGGTACCTGGGTTGCTTCTTATCCCAGTGACTGCTGTGTAGTTTCCTCGCTGACATGAACAGTATATCTGCAACCTTGGAACATCCGGCTAGAGTCGAGAAGTTTGATGTTTAGAATATGGACGTGTGATGTCTAGCTTTAGCGTCGGATAGTCCTAGCCCGGTTCTCCATGCAAAGCTTCACGGCCGGCTCTGACCCCAGGAAACGAAGGCTGGAGGGGGGCAGGAGTTTGATTTTTCTTTTTGCTTCCGCAGGAGGTTGGACATGGCACAGGTTTATTCAAGCCTCCGTTTCCTTTATTCAGATGAACAGCCAAGAGATGAGTGAGGTTGGGTGTGTGTTTTCCAGACGTATTACCATACACAGGGCCTCGAGAGACGTGGTCTTTATGAGCCACAAGAAGGGGTCACCTGTGAGCTCTGCCCTAGTGGCTCAGCCTTATCACTCAAGGCACATCCTGTTGAGGGGGTCATTGGGGAGGATGACCACGGTTCCTCCAGCCCGAGGTTGTACTCAAATGCCCTTGCAGCGCTTACCCGTCATCTTCAGAGGTGGAGGAGAGAGAATGTTGGGGGAGGGTGTTAATGAGTCACAAACAACGTCTAAAGCCCAAGTTGTGGGAGCAATCTCCTTGTGACTTTGGCAAAGAGGCCATGCCGTTTTGTAATTGACGATGGGTCGGCCTGAAGCGGGAGAGATCATGAAATGGCTCTCTCTGGTCTTTGAGCAGCGACCCTTAAATTGGGGAAAGAGTTGGGGGCAGGGGCAAAAAAAAATTTTTTTTAAATGGAATCCCATCCCAAAGGGCTGGAACAGGTAAAACCGCCTGGAGAATTTGTGTTTTAGACCTGTAATATTAAAGGAGCTCTTGTGTGTTCATTTTTCCCCCTGAGCCAATACAACGTAATAACCATTTCTACATTGAGTGGCCTCCATCATCTTTCTCTCCCTCTTTTTTTTTTAAATTCCATGGCTTCATTTTTTGTGAAAGCCTTTGACAAGACCTTCATCTAAAACTTTGCACAAATGGTCTCGGCTGGATCTCTTGAAATATAACTCTCATCTTTTTGCCAATTTCTGCTTTCCTCACATTGGCCTATACAAAACAGAAGAGAAACTGTCTGAAGCATCCTAGATTTTTGCCAAATATCTGGCAGATTCCAGTGAACATTTCTGTATTGGAGGCAACGCACCCTCGATCTTGTTGATCTGTTTGAGGTCCTTTTAAAGTGTTTCGCCAACTTATTTTTAAGTTTCCTAAAAACAAAATGTTTTTAGTAGAACTGTACTGCAAACATATTTAAATGCTTCCTTATGTTTTGCCAAGAATATTCACATGTTCCATCCAGGTTGGCCAGTTTTTCCTAAATAATTGCCCCCCCCTTGGGTTCCCCCAACCTCTCATAATTCAAAAACTATAACTTTAAAAAAATCTCCTTAGTTATATTTTAAAAATATTTTCTGTAAGAGCTGCTAATTTTTATTTTTAAAAAAAGAATTGTAAAAATGCACCTCCTTTTAAACTTCATACAGGGCATGCAGTAGAACATATCACCATGTACAGTGTCAATACACTGAAAGCAAAACCTGGATGCTTTCTTTTTATTGGCTGTAAAACTTTGTATTTATTATGTATAAAATGTTGAATAATAAAAAGTGGCTTTAAATCACTGGATGCGGTTTCGTGTGTATTGGGTGCTATAATGCTGTTCTGACTCAAGCATCTTTTTGTGAGCTTGAAAGTAGCAGAGGATGCAAACATCTGTAACTGACTTAATCCAAGCAGGCCTTGAGTCCGTCCGGGCCAGGCTTAAACCAGCCTGTGCCAGCTTTCTGCTCTCCAGATGTTCTCCCGTTCTCATCAGCCAAAGCTGGGCATGGAAGTGTTAAAGATGATGACTGCGATGATAAATTTGATTTATGTCTCAGCATTCTCTTCGAAGTGGGACTCAGGACAACTCACCACCAACAGGGACAGATAAAAATGCAGATGCTATGAAGCGAAAATAAAATTAAACGATAAGATGAAAATTCAATGAGAAGCAGATCAACAAAAAAAGTACACCCCCACTTTTTAGAAGCCCTTGCTTAGTAGCTGGTCCGTTGCCTAAAATCTATCTGAAGAGAAAGAATTGCTTGCTAACAGGAAGAAGAAAGGCCCAGCCTTCGCTCCCCTTCCGGAGCTTGTTTGCAGTAAGAAGAAAAGAACCCACAGAGCAAACCGAAGGGCCATGTGGCAGATGCTCTCCATGCTTCACCCCACTGAACACCACAAGTGGCTCTTGAAGAAATGTGGTGATCCCTCCCCGCCTTCCAGCCTTCCAGAATTGGAATTTGCCCCTTCCTTTCTTATCCCGCAGGGGGCATCCAGAGGTCCCTGGGGGTGACAAGTAGAGGGCAAAATAAAGGAAGTTCTATAAAGCAAAGATTGTGAATATACAGAGGGCCAAGGGTGCAACGCAGCTTAAACTGAACAGACACATGGCTTTGCATTTTGGGGGCCGGGAGAGAAATAGCGAAGGAGATCAGGATGTCACTTCCTTTCCTCCCCACATTTCTCTCTTGACCCTCTAGCAAGGGAGGCAGCCTACGTTCGTTCCCAAGAGATGAGGGGGTGGCCGCGATTCCTTCACTCCCCATCTCGGCATCCTGGTTTCTTTCCTCTCTTAAGATCTTTCCCTAACCCCAGCTTTTTTGCTCAGAGTAAGGAGCACGCCTCTGGATCTTTTGAAAGGAGGAAGCGTGCCTCGCTGGTTTTCAGTGGGCCAAGTACACGAGCTAACGTATCTACAGCCATGGATTGCTTGCTCTGCAAACAGTCAAAACTGGACTTTGCTCTCATATGACACAGGCTGATGCCTGTTTGAAGGGGAGTTGTTAGGCAGATTCATGGTTCAGTGTCACCGCCAGAGTCAGCAACGGAGGACAGTGAGTAGGATTAAGATGAACAGGAGGTGCGTGGACCCGTGAATTTGAGCCATGCCTTCACATTAGGGACGTGGTGGCACTGCGGGTTAAACCACAGAAGCCTCTGTGCTGCGAGGTCAGAAGACCAAGCAGTCGTAAGATTGAATCCACGCGATGGAGTGAGCTGTCGCTTGTCCCAGCTCCTGCCAACCTAGCCGTTCGAAAGCATGTAAAAATGCGAGTAGATAAATAAATACCACCTCAGTGGGAAGGTCACGGCGTTCTGTGTCAAGTCGTGCTGGCCACGTGACCATGGAAACTTTCTACAGACAAATGCTGGCTCTACGGCTTGGAGACGGGGATGAGCACCGTGCCCTTGAGTCGGACACGACTGGACTAAATGTCAAGGGGAACCTTTACCTTCACATAGAATCACTGATCTGAAGAGTTGAGGAAAGGGAGGGACCCTTCTAGAGTACACCTGTGTCCAGTTCTGGACACCACACTTTAAGAAGGATGCCAGAAAACTGGAGCAAGTTCAGAGGAGGGGAAACAAGGAGGATCAGGGGACTGGAAACCAAACCCCTGCGAGGAAAGACTGAGAAAACTGGTCCCGTTTTGCCTTGAGAAAAGAAGACTGAGGGGAGATCTGATAGCACTTTGAAAGGCTGTCCTGCAGAGGAGGGGCAGGATCTGTTCTCAATCATCCCAGTGTGCAGGACACCTAATAATGAGCTCAGATATTCAGATTTAAGGCTGAATATCAGGGAAAAATTCTTAACTGTCAGAGCAGTACAACAAGGGAACCCATGACCTCGAGAGGTGGTGAGCCCTCCAACGCTGGAGGCCTTCAGGATGAAATTAGACCACCCTGTCTGTCTGATCTGCTTTGATTTGAATTCCTGCCTTGAGCAGGGGGTTGGACTGGATGGCCTTATGGGTCCCTTACAGCTCCATGATTCTGTGATTTCTATGACCTTGGGTGAAAGGAGGCAGCACATTGTGAAGCACACGCCAGAAGCAGCAAGAATGCATAGGTGGGGCAGGGACCTTTCCTGCGTAAAATAATCCGTGTTGCTAAAATGCTGTGTTTGTGTGTGAAGAGAGAGAGAAAGAGAGAGAGAGCTTTTTAAAAAGCGTTCTCGGAGCTTTTAAAAAAGTAATAGGCAATGTGAAAATCAGCCCTGGCTACAAATAAATTTAAAGACTGAGGCCAGAGAGAGAGGAGATGGACAGATCTTACCTGCCCTGATGATTCAGCTGGAGGATTTCAGAACTGCTTGAAGGCTCAAGGTCGGGAAGCAGATCATCCCTCTTTTGCGAACGAACGCAGGAAATGCAAGGGAGCCCAAGAAAACCCTGGAGGTGGGTGGGAGGGGAGGACCGCAGGGATAGAAAGAAGATGGTCCAGCTTGCCAGTTCCCTGTGCAAGGAGGGCTGGGTGGCGCTTTGTGTTTGCTGAATCTGGAATCTTAAACTCACATTCTCAAAGATAAATCCTCATCGAGCCCTTTAACCACTGCATTGCCTTGACTCTGAGGATGGAGTGGAGGTCTTTCCACGTTGCAGTAAAAATTAAAAAATAAATAAAATAAAGGCTATCAGTTCTGTTATATGGCTTTGAGTGACCCAAATGGAGGTAGGGAAAACAAGAGCTATTCCTCAGGTATGTTTTTCCCTCTTTTAACTTTTCAAGGTCGACATGCAGATTGATTTGCAGGCTTCCTAAAAGGCATCTCCTCCTCCTCCTCCTCCTCTGGTTAATGGCAGGAGGGCAACTGTGGCAGTTTGAATACAGTAAGGGGCCCTGATAGGCTTCAGTGGTCAGTGTGGAAATGCTGGTGCTCATCACGACAGTCCTTCGTAGATGGTCCCTCCCTCTTCTCCCAAGGAAAGTCCAAAAAAGGTGGTCAGCTGAATCGTTTAAGGAGGGCTAGGTCTTTCATAAGGTTTATGGCTCTTAATTCAGGGCAAACGGCTCTCAGACATCAAACAGGACAACAAGACAGCGCAACGTTTACACCTTTTGATGTCACCAATCCCGCTAGGAACTGAATTCTTGCACGGCTTTATCTCCAACTCAGCATAACTCACAGGGAGTTTTTATCCAGGTCTCCGGCTGCTGCTGGTTTGCAGACATTCCTCACCAAATGACAGAGAGAGCATTTCCTATTAATGCTGCCAGAGCAGCAAGAAGGCTCAGAGGTTGCCATGCTGGTCCTCCACTCTCTGCCTTGCTCCCAGTGGCACGATGGGCACCAGCACATATAACCAGCAGCAGAGTTTTGAATGTTTGGTCACATCCCTCTAGCCGAGCATCAGAAATGCAGGGATTCACAGAGCAGAATAGCCTCAAGTTCCCTATATTAGTCCACCCCCTTTTCTCCTCAACTGGTAATTACAGTCTCAATAACTCACTTTGAGACATTAAAAGAAATACTAAAAGGTTTAATGACTTACGATTGAACGGATCAGACTGCAAGCTGGCAAACATAACTGCTTTCAGCAATAGATTCCAGAAAGGGGGGAAAGCACTGAAGAGAGAGGTGGGGGCTCTCTCTGAACTCAGAGGCAGGAAGGAACAATGGATTAGCGGTGAATAGATCGGCAGTCATTCCAGCACAGAAAGACCCCTTCCAGCTAAACTACTAAAGGTTGCATGCAAGTTGGCAAAAACTCCGAACACGCTTCTTAATGCTTCCACCACCACCACCCAGCTTCTGCCTTTCTGATGTCCTCACTTTCTTTCCCAGCTGTCTGCAGGAACAGAGC